CACGAATCCCACCTTTTCCTCTCTCGTTAGCGACTGACAGCAAACCCCCTCCATTTCGGAGGGAAGCCACTGCCCTGACTCACGGCCGCAGAAGCTGAGGAGGTCAAACGCTGCAATGACCAACTCTCGCCCCTCTATGGTAGGGTCATGGGGGGATGATAGCCTAGCCCTCTGTGAGACGGCCCAGCTCCCACTCCCCCTGTGAGATGGTCCAGCCTCAGTTTACCCCAACCCAGCTGACCCAGCTGTCAAATATCAGCCCCACACAACTTCCATGGAAATTTCCTACTTCATCCTCCCCTCCCTTCCCTATTACTGGGGCATTGCCAGGGATGCCTGAACAGAGGCAGGGCAGCCCAGAGGGAGGGGGGGCAAGTGGGGCAATTTGCCCCAGGCCATGGGCCCCACAGGGCCCACCCCATGAGAATCTCTGAGGCTCCCCCCTGGCCCCACCCCTGCCTTCCCCTTCCCCCATCCCCCGGCACCTCAGCATGCCGCGTCCAGGAGCGGCCCAGGACAGCGCTGCAGTGGCGTGGCTCCAGCAGGGCCTGAGCTCCTCCCCGCTCAGAGCCACGTGGTAAGGGGACGGGGCTGCGAATTGCGGCCGAGCGGTGGGAGCACAGGTCCCACTGGAGCCACGCCTCTGCAGCGCTGTCCAGGGCCACTCCTGGACACGGCACGCTGAGGCTCTGGGAGAGGGGGGAGGCGGGGGTAAGCGGCCGGGGCCAGGGTCAGGGGGGTTGGCTAAGGGGCAGGGAGTCCCCGGGACGGTCAGGAGACAGGGAGTGGGGGGGGTTAAATGGGGCAGAGGTTCTGGGGTGGTGGTCAGGGGACAGGGAACAGGGGGTTGGATCGTGGGCGTTCCTGGGGTCTGTCAGGATTCGGCGGGGGGGTGGATAGGGGTCAGGGCAGTCAGGGAACAGGGAGCAGGGGAGGTCAGTGGGGGGCGGGTTCCCAGGGGGGCGGTGAGGGGACAAGGAGCAGGATGGGTCGGGTATTCTGAGGGGGGCAGTCGGGGGGCAGGAAGTGGATGGGGGTCAGATAGGGGGCAGGGCCAGGCTGTTTGGGGAGGCACAGCCTTCCCTACCCTAAAGCGCATTCAGCGGTTTGAGGCTTGCAGACAGCTATTTAACACAAAGAGCCAAGCTGTTATCTTTTCCCTTAGGGCTACCATCCCTTTCACTTCTCAAATGCCAAATTATAGTCTACATTTCATTTCAGTGCCATAGGGAGATTCATGTCAGGGGAGGGGAGCTTCATTGAAAATTAGCCACTTTAGATTAACAGTGATAGAGCCATGGGGGAGGGATCACATGAGAAGAGCGATATCCTACACCACCTACCTCCTTCCCAACCCTACCAAGGGAGACCCTCCTCCCCTGCATTCCCCGAGGCTCCAGAGGGGTTAATTCAGTGGTTCTCAAACTTTTGTACTGGTGACCCCTTTCACATAGCAAACCTCTGAGTGTGACCCCCCCTTATAAATTAAAAACACTTTTTTATATATTTAACACTATTATAAATGCTGGAGGCAAAGCAGGGTTTCAGGTGGAGGGTGACAGCTCACGACCCCCAGTAATGACCTCGTGACCACCTGCAGGGTCCCGACCCCCAGTTTGAGAACCCCTGGGTTAATTTAATTTTAGCACTCTGTGTCCATTCACATGCATGTGCTATTTTGAGCATTTCAGTTTTCACAACATAGGCTCATCCCAGATTCTGAAACAAGCTCAAATGCTCAGTTCATGGAGTATGTACATATGCTATATGTGGCGGTCCACGCCCCCGAGGGTACAAGCGGCGTGGACTATCCGCCACCATCTGTAAAATAGTCCTTTAGTTCAGGGCAGTGTGGCCTAGCGGCCAGAGTCTATGGCATCCCCTTTAATGCAGGGTGACGTGGCCTAACAGCCGGAGTCTATAATACGGCCCTTGGCTACAGGGCAGTGGGGCCTACCGGCCAGAGTCCATAAAGCAATCCTTGGGTGGAGGATAGCATGGCCTAATGGCCAGAGTCTTTAGCCTTGGGGTGTGACAGCCCCGATAGGGGGACCCCGACCCAGGGCCCTAACAGTAGTGGCTTGCCACCGACTCAGCAGGGGGGTTCCAACCAAAACACGCTGAGTTTCCCCCGGCGGGGGGAAGGTACCACTCTATCACCCTCCCGGAGTCACTTCCTACCAGGCTTTCCATTGGGGTCTCCCAGGAGTCATCGAGTCCTCGGCGGATCCGGTCATCTCCCAGGTCTCCTCCAATCGCCGGGGCGCAGGCGGGCCACAGATGGCATCGCTTCCTGGTGCGGTTAGCGGCTGTGGCTGGCTCTCTGCAGGAGCTCCCCAGGCAGGTCCTTCTCCTACAGACTCCAGCCCAGAATGAGCAGGTCTCCCTCCCTTTATACTCCTGTAGCACTTGGAGCATGCCCAGTCTTTCCAGGGAGGCGAGACTTCCGCTGCCAGTCCCTGGGGCTTAACTCTGTCCGGGCTAAGGCGGGGTGGTCTGAGCCTGCCACACAATACTAAAGACAAACCCACAGTAACCGTCTCCAGTTTGTGAGGGACCCCATGGAGCCAGTCTCTAGGAAACAGATACATTCATGGTGGTTAAGTCCATTAATAGCTATTAGCCAGGCTGGGTAAGGAATGGTGTCTCTAGCCTCTGTTTGTCAGAGGGTGGATGGAGATGGATGGCAGGAGAGAGATCACTTGATCATTACCTGTTAGGTTCACTCCCTCTGGGGCACCTGGCATTGGCCATTGTCGGTAGACAGGATACTGGGCTAGATGGACCTTTGGTCTGACCCGGTACGGCCGCGTTCTTATGTTCTAACCTAAATGAACCCAAAGTTATGGAGACAGATGTGAGTCAAGGAAGCCAGCAGAGTATCAAAAACCTGGAAAAATCTCTGACTGGATGGGCTCTGGCGTTTGGTCACAAGCTGAGGTGGTTCAAAAGTTTTGGATTTTTTTGAAGCAGAATTTTTGTATTGTTTCTTTAAACAATCAAACACAGCAAGCAGCAAATATTTGCCCATACACTTCTGAAACCCCAAACCATGTTCAGGTTTTGGCAGACTAATTTCAGCTTTTCAATTAAAAAAACACAACAAATTTGGAAGGAAAGCAGACATTGTCCGTGATTTTCTCTGCTTTTTAAAAACCCCTAGTTTTCAATCCAAAAAAAGTTTTGATGGAAAATATTTGTCCAACCCTTTTAATGTGTTTTAGTGCCTTTTAGCACTAATGCTGAGAACCAGTAATTCCTTGTAAAGGTGACTTGAAAAGAAGTTTTCTCAAAACTGGGTTTGTGCTGTGATGCGGAAGGTTTTTAAATGTTTATTTTTCCCAGGGCCACCCGGGGGGGGGGGGGGCAAGTGGGGCAATTTGCCAGGGGCCCCCATGAGAATATAGTATTCTAAAGTATTGCAACTTTTTTATGGAAGGGGCCCCTGAAATTGCTTTGCCCCAGCCCCCTGAATCCTCTGGGTGGCCCTGTGCCTTGAGGGAGCAATTTGAGGCTGAAAGCCACCAGTGATCTTTGGTGCCCTCCACGGGAGTGAAGTGCAGTGGTTCCAATGTTAGTAGGAATCTGTGTTTACTACACTGACTTGCAGTGCCTGTTGCTTTCCTGGACTAAGATATCTTTTACTTTATGTAATAATAAAGAATGTTTTCAAAGCCAAAAAATCCATTTATTGAAAAGAAAATTCATTTATTGAAAAGAAACACAACTGCTTGGGAAACAGAAAAAGCAAGGGGGTGGGGTGGGGTGGGGTGGCTAACGGCTCAATCACAGAGTTGCGTATGTCCTGTTATCATACTCAGCCTTCCTGTTTGGAGTTATGTGTAATGAGTGCCGCACTTCAGGCTGGCTATGTTGCATGGGGGTGATGGGGGTTGAGTGCAGTGAGTAAGGGTCGTAGTTTTCAGAGCTGGGTGGTGAAGCTACAGGTGTTGGAGGCAGCCGGTGGCGATAAGAACCAGGATGTTGGGGAAAGTGGGTTGGAGGTGACATGGGGGCACAAGGGAAAGAGTTGTGGGACAAGGGCTGCAGCAGGCGCGGTACTGCTCCATCTGCATGGCTACAAGTGCCTGTATCGAGTCCGCTTGGTGCTCCATGATGCTTATCAGCCGATCCGTGCTTTCTAACTCACGACACGTCCACACTGGCAAGGCACGTGGAGGGCTCTGACTCCGCGGCTCGAGCACTCCTTGTACTCCACCTCGGCGAGTGGAATAATGTTTGATGCACCCCCACTGGAGCACTGCGGAGCCAGTGTGGATGCCCTGCTCTGTTAATGCGCTCTGATCAGCCTCCAGAAGTGTCCCACAATGCCTGTTCTAGCCACTTTGGTCAGAGTCAGACCCGCCCTTTAAATTCTCTGGGAATTTTGAAAATCCCCTTCCTGTTTGCTCAGCCAGGCGTGGAGTGCTCTCAGCAAATCTTTCCAGGTGACCGTGCCTCCACGGGCCAGGCGATCCCCAGTATGGAGCAATGGTGAGGAGTTGGACCTCATCAGTGTTTGGGGGGAGGAAGCTGTCCAGTCCCAGCTGAATGTAGTTGAATGTTTCAAATAAATTAAAAAGCGGATTTAACGTGGCACTCTGTAGTTCTGGATTTTTAATTTAATTGTTTAGATAACTCGTAGGAAGTCTTTACAAGTTGCAACATACAGTAATAATAAAATTACATCTCTTATTTGTATTAGAATGGAGCTGATTAGATCGAGAACACCAGAACTTTGGCAAAGTTCCAGTCCCAATCAAATGAACATTGCGACTCTGATCTATTTCTAATTCACATCAGATCCTGTTTGGAAATTTAAAAAAATTATTTCTAACTATGATGGCTGAAGGAAAGTATAATGGCATATTTGGGGCATAATTCTGCCAATACTGTTGGCCTCTATAAAGTTTTTGTGGGCATAGAATGAGGGATATTATGACCAGCTCTTTTATTTAGAAAAATGCTTGTATCTCTTCAACAAGGAGTCCGGTGGCACCTTAAAGACTAACAGATTTATTTGCGCATAAGCTTTCATGGGTAAAAAACCCATTTCTTCAGAAAGCTTATGCCCAAATAAATCTAACACAGGTACCCCCTGATACTTGTATCTCTTCAGTGACTTGATTTACTTAATTCTGTTTATGACAGCATGGGGAAATATTTGTTTAAAGTCTAATCTGTACAAATGTAGGAGTTCAATATAGTCATTATTTTGTATCTCTCTCTCCTATCTCCTTATATTTTCTCCTTTCCAGAACTGAAGGATCCCAGGGCCCAGCGAACACATTCATGACAGATCAGCAATGAGGCAGAAGGCAGGCAGCTGCAGGAAGGGCGGAGGCCAGCTTCAGTCGGGGATAGACGTGAAAGTGAAACTTACTTTCTTATTTTTCGTAGGTGCCATGGCCGCAAGAGGGGGGATAAAAGATCTCCAAGAGGCTGTTATCTGTTCCATTTGCCTGGCTTCTTTTAACAATCCAGTGATTCTCATCAAGTGTGGGCACAATTTCTGCCGAGCCTGCATCACTCAGTACTGCAAGGACTCCAAAGTCTTCCCCCCTTATCCCTGCCCTCAGTGCAGAGAACCGTTCCGGGAAGGGGAATTCCAGCCCAACCGGGACCTGAGGAATGTAGTTGAAATGACCCAAACCATCCCAGACCTCCAAGGGAAGAAAGCGTGTGAAAAACATGAGGAGCTTTTGAAACTTTTCTGTGAAGTGGATCAAACCCCCATCTGTGTGGTGTGCAGAGAGTCCCGCAGTCACAAAGACCACTCCGTGGTTCCTCTCGATGAGGCTGCTGTGGATTACCAGGTAATGTTTGCATTTGGGAGGCATCCAAGTCCAAACATTCTCGAAAAATCAGAGCAGCCATCTGAGAACTAGAAAACCAGCAACGTAATGAAACTAGCTTCCTACAATGACAAGGTAGAAAAGCAGAAGGGATTTCATACAGGAAGAACGTTGAGGAGACATGTTTTTAAGGCCTGCTCTGCATATAGTTTTTGCACTGATCTGTGTTGGGGAGGGCTGGGATTTTTTTATTTTTTTTTACAAAAGAGTTATGTCAGCAAACTCCCCTCCCCCCCCAGGTGTGAATACAAGTTGTACTGGTACAAAGGTGCCTGATGCCAGGAACGCTTGTTTCCCTTTCCATACAGGAATAAGCTACACCCGGTTATACAGGTGTAACTACACCCACGCTAGCAGGGCTGTATGGCTTTAATAGTACCAGGAGATGTAAAGCAGGGTATGATTTGTGTGCCCTAGAGCAAGGGCATCCCCTGTGCAGGGAAAAATCCACACGGGGGCAGGAAACTCCACAAGTTCCAGCTCACACAGTCTCCTTTTACTCCTTGCAGGGTCGGGGGAGCAGGGTTTGCTTCTCATACAGGATGGACAACGGCTGGGGGGGGGCCTGGCCCATTCCAGCAGATTTCTTGAAATCTGCGGAGGCAGGGGTAGGGTGATCACATTTTCAAAATGAAGATCCAGGGTCCTGTTATCTGGGGGGAAGGAGGTGGAGGATCAGGGAGGAGGACACGCTGGCTTTGGCAACTGGGAAAGAATTATGTCCATTCCTTACCATCTTTTCCTCCTCAGCCAAGCAACACCCCCGTTTCTCCTTCTCGTCCCTCTCCATAATAAAAACCAAGCCACGTTAAATATCTTTTATAGCAGGGAGTCTTGAAAATGTAACGGATGTACATTAATCACTACGGTTGCAAGGCTCAAGCAGCTCGGCTGCCCTTTCTGTGTAGGGGGCGGCGGGGGGGGTAAAGAAGAATTAAGGATGGTACCTGCCCCCAGTTTCTGTGTGTCACTGGGTTAGATCTGTTTGGACGGTGTCCCCGTGACTCATCTCACTGACTCTCCCCTACATTCTCCGGCAATCCCAGTGCTTAGTGGGGGTCAGGAATTGCTTGTGCGTAGGGGGAGGGGGGAAGATTATTTCTCAGGCCCACTTAGAAATGCCAAGGCCGGTGATGTATCAAAACATGCCCTGAGTAACAGTGTGGTTCGGAGACTGCTCAGAAAAGTCACAGTGAGCATGAGCAGAGCGAACACATGTGCACGGAGGCAGTGAAGCCTCAGTCAAGCCCCGTCCTTAGCTCAGTTTCTCTGTCAGTGCGGCCTCAATTCACAGTATTTACTTAGGTGCCTAAACCCCAGTTGGAGCCTCCACTGCCATTCACAAAACTCCTGCTGAGCCCTGTCGGTGCCTAAACTCCCTCGGCCTCTGTGTTTTCAGTAACTAGTTCCCTCAGCACCTGTGTTTCTGCCCCTGGCCATGTGCACTGCATCTAGATGCCTGTCTGCCACCTAAGCCCCAGGGAAGATCAGCCTTAGGCCACCTAACTCCTGTGTGGGGCCTAAGCTGGTAGGCGGCCTGAGGCCCTTTAGGTGAGTTCACTCACAGAACGCTCTCCCTCATCGTCTTTAGCCGGGTGTTTAGAGCACTCACCTGGGACATGGGAGACCACAGGTTCAAGTCCCTCTTCCACGTGATGAGGAGACGGGATTTGAACAGGGATCTGCCACCTCTCTATGGGATATTCTGAGATAGGCTCCCTCCATCTCTCCTGCTGAAGCTGTTCCACTGGGGATAAATACTTAGAGAGTCATTTGCAGGAGAGAGAGAGACCGCAAGCATGAGAAGGACACTATAGTCCTGTGGTTAGAGCACTCACCCATTTTATTATGCATTTAATAGCCTTGAAAATAAAAATAAAATGGGGGAAAGCCTCCAATAGCAACTGAAACTAAACCCGTTTTTCTTTTGTTAGGAACAAATTCGGAGCCGTTTGGAGAGTTTGAAGAAAGAGAGAGACAAGATTCTGTCATATAAATTGAGTGGGGAAAATACAAGCCAGGAACTACTGGTAGGTGCGGTTCTTACTCAGAGACAAACGTGCGCAGGGACATTGTTGATACTCTGCTTAGTCTAACACAAGAAGAATAGTGAGAAACGTGTTCCTTTCTGTGAAAGATTGTTACTTATTTATTCGCATTGGAAAGAAAAACTGTTCTGCTTCAATTGAGTATAAACAGGAAAATGGAGCATTAAGGAAAGAGTTTTAATAATCCAAATATTTCCATTGATAACAGGAGTGTAATTTGTTTAGCTAACAGTAGTTTCTCCTTTATCTTTCAGCTAGAGCTGGTCGAAATTCAACCACAAAAATGTTCTGTAGCAAAATGGGAGTTAGCAGAAAACAATTTTTTTCCATGGGAAAATGTCTTTTCAAATAAATAAATAAATAAATAAAATCTGTTTTTTCACAGGAAATTTCAGAATGAACAAAATGTTTATTTTCATTGCAAATTGAAGTTTTCATTTTGGTTTTAAAATGCTGAATTTTTTTCAAAATTTCAAATGTGTTTTATCCCTTTCCCCCCCCCCATTTACTCCTTTTTGCCACTGAATACAACAACATGAATAATTTTCAGGTTTTTTCTCCTAGTTTTTCCTTTTCCTTTTTGCCAATTTTTCTAAAATGGGAGAACTTTTGAAGAGTTCCAGAGAGAATGGAATAAAAGGAACAAATGGGATGGTGCTGGAAATAGACATTATTTTCTTACATTTTAGAAAAAAGGGAAACAGAAATGTGAATTTTTTTCAAGTTATTTCATGATATTTTTCAAACAAATTAAAAGTCCCATTTTGAACACTGAAAAATAGAAACAACTTTGAAATTTCAAATTTTTTTTGCAAATTCCTCCCCCATTTTTTGGCTTTACTTTCAACAGACAGAACTGTTAGCATATAAGCCTATTTTTGAACCTGAGATAGAATTTTGGGTTTGACTTTTGATACTCTGACATCCTTACTAATAATGTGTGTGAAGAACAAAGGACAAAGACATGGTGTGTGTCTTATGCCTGGTCAGATGGGTTTGTTAGTATAATGGGAATGGATAAGAACAGAGAAAAGGTTACAGGGTATGGTGGGAGTGTAATATATGAGCATACACTGGAAGGCTGCCTGGCTCCTCTCTCAAGCCAAGGTCAATGTCATGGATTTGGGGGAGACTTGGTCCTGCACCCCCGGCTTCCTGCGATTCACCATGACTCTTAGCCAGCCAGTAAAGCAGAAAGTTTATTTAGACAACAGGAACACAGTCCAAGATCGGTCCTGCAGGTACAAACAATTGGCCCCACCTCAGTCAGGTCCATCTTGGGGGGCCAGGGAGGCCAGAGCCCCATTGGGAGGCCAGAGCCCCATCTGGGCTCCCCTCCATTTTCCCAGCCAGCTCCAAACTGAAACTCCCTCCACCCATCTCACTCAGCCTCCCCCCCAGGCTCCTCCCCCTGCCTTTGTCCAGTTTCCTGGGCAAAGGTGTTACCTGGCTTCAACCCCCCTCCTGGGTTCTAATGTTACATGCTCAGGTATCTTCCCTCAAGGAAAATCTCCCATCCCCACAGCAGACAGTCCCGGTAAAACTCCCCTGCAAGCTCCCCAGGTCAATACTCCCCACTTCCTGATACATCACAGGTACCCACCCAATATTCAAAGAAAACATTAAGAACATTCCCACTTTGTCACAGTCAAGCAGCCAGTTAGGAGGGGCAAAGGGGGAATGGGGAGTGCGGGGGAGGCATAAGAAACACTAAAAGCCAAAGAAAAGCCTGGCCTTGGCCAGGACACAACCTTACTCGTCACCCCTCCCCTGGGGTACAGAAGAGGTGGGATGAAGACCCCAGACTCATGACCCTCCAGAACAGAACATGCCCATAAGTTGTAAGGGGTGTAACTAGGGGCGCGCACTGCAGGTATATTTGGATCTACTAAGAAGGAGGAATGGGGAACGGGGACATGGGGTAAAGGCTCTGCGGCATGAGAACTGGGAAGGGGGACGTGGGGTAAAGGCTCTGTGGCATCAGAGCCGGGAAGGGGGACACGGGGTAAAGGCTCTGAGGCATCACAGCCAGGAAAGTGGGTGCGGGATAGGCTCTGTGGTGTCGGAGCCAGGAAGGGGGATGCAGGGTAAAGGCTCTGCAGCATCGGAGCCAGGAAGGGGGATGCGGGATAAAGAGAGCATCTGTTCCCCAATTCAAGTCTAGCACTTCTGAGTTTGGGTTCTACTGTTTGCTCCCCAGAAGTAATCCTTGCCTGTCCAGTTCTGGATCCCACACCTGCTGTACTTTCTGTTGTTTGAAGGATCTGGTTTTCTAGATGCCACTGATAACAGAATATCCTAATAATGCAAGATACATTCATATTCTAAACACCAGTTAGGATTCTTCAGAATTCATTGGAAAATCATCTGTCTACTGAGCATAGTGTATGTTCTCTGTAAAATATCAGGAGTTAAATTCTACGGGATTGCAATGACATGCTCCCATGTGCATACATAAGGCTTTATAAAATGTCCCATAACTCACTCCATGTTCCTGTCCTTGACACATGCTTTCTCTGTTGGGATCTCTTCATTTCAGAAACAGCTACAAACTGAGAGGCAAAAGATTGTGGCTGAATTTCAGCAACTGCGCCAGTTTTTGGAGGAACAAGAGCGACTCCTGCTGGCCCACCTGGAAGAGCTGAATAAGGAAATTGAAAAAAGTAGGGATGACTATGTTGCCAAACTATCTGAGGAACTATCCTCTTTCAGTTCCCTGATCAGTGAGATGGAGCAGAAGTGCCAGCAGCCAGCAAGTGAATTCCTACAGGTGAGACGGTGTTAGAAACACCCCAGAACCTGTCACAGGGCAAGAAAGTCTCCTAACCCTTCATTTTTGGAGTGTAGGAGTGTGTGAGATTCCCTTGGTGTTATCTGGATCTGCTAGGTCACTCCAGTCCTCGACTCTGAGAGCCAGCCTTGCCCTGTTCCGCAGTGAGAACCCCCACTCCTGGGCTGTTCCCGCACAGCCTCTGGCATGTAAGCTGCTCCCAGCTACGTGAGTGAGCACTTTTGGCCAGCCACTGCTTGGATTGTGCAAGCGAATGACACTAGCCAATATCTCCGGTCCCAGACACAACCCTAGGAACTTCTGTCTTGCAGTTTCCAGTTATGCTCCCTGGGCACTGCAAGCTTATATGAGTTCATCAATTTAACAAAGAAATTGGTATGTACCAGGCTTGTTATCCCAAGGGGAGTGTCTAATACGCTTCAAACCAAAAGCTATACTTCAAGTAGAATAAACAAATAGATTTATTAACTACAAAGATAGATTTTAAGTGATTAAAAGTCAAAGCACAAGAAGTCAGTTTTGGTCAAACGAAACAAATGCAAAACGCATTCTAAGCTGATCTTAACACTTTCAGTGCCTTTACAAACTTAGATGCTTCTCACCACAGGCTGGCTGGTTGCTCTTCAGCCAGGCTCTCCCCTTTGATCAGCGCTTCAGTCACTTGATGTGGTGTCTGTAGATGCAGGTGGAAGAGAGAAAAAATGGCAAACGTGTCTCCCTGTTATCATGTTCTTTCTTCCCTCTTGGCTTTGCCCCCGTCCCCTTCAGAGTTAGGTGAGCATTACCTCACCGCTGTCCCAAACTGACCAAAGGCAGGGGGTGACTCACTTGAGAGTCCAACAGATCCTTTGTTGCTGCCTACGCCAGTGTCCTTTGTTCCTGTGAGGCTGGGCTGGGTTTTTCCCATACATGCCCTGATGAGGTGTGAACTGCCCCTCTGCTCCTGGAGAGTTTTTCCTGGACTTGTTTTAAGCCACGAGGACACATTCTCAGCCTCATAACTATATACATGAAATTACAACCTATAACATCACTTTAACAACAGTGCTCAGTGCATCATATAAGGATGAACATGGGTATGCAGGGTGTTCCCCTGAGGTACAGAGTGTCACAGAGTGAACACATCACAAGCCTGAGCCCTCTGATTCCATGTGCCGGGTGGTTATCGAAATGTTGTTACACAAAGAGACTGTGTGCCTCCTTATACAAACGTCCTGGGCCCAGATCCTGCAGTCAGAGCACTTCTCCAAAAGAGCAAAGGCAGCACATTTAATGTTTTTGTTTATGTTCATAAATAATTTCTCTTTGAACCTCAAACTATGAAGACAAAGTGAGTCCCCTCCAGAGCAGGTGGGATCCTTAGTATGAGAGATGGGACTGAATTTCTTTTTCTCTCTCCCCTTTAGGACATCAAAGGCACCTTGAGCAGGTAGGTGTCTCCTTCTCATTCTCCCTTTCACTCCCCAATGCAGGGAAGGGATTTTAAACATGAGACCTGGCTCCCCATGGTCCAGCAGTGCAGGGTGTGGGGCTGGTTCCCAATCTCCCTCCGTTACATCTAATCTTGGGTCTGTTGTCATTTTGACTAGACTCCAGTATAGAGCAGCCTGAGAAGAGTTATTTATGTACAGACAGGGTATTGATTTGTAGTGGCTGGTGGAATGGAGCCCTCAGGAGATTGGGGATGGAGAATGAATTTTTCATTTCTAGGTCATAGACTCCAAACTCCACCTAGGTATGTAGAGATGGAAAGTCAGTGACATCCTATGACTATTCAATGAGCTGAATATTAATTGTTGCTTATTATGCAGTGAGCTCTCTCAGTGTGTTTGGTGTGGCAATTGATATGATGGAAGAGACATTCAGGGGGGAGGGATAGCTCAGTGGTTTGAGCATTGGCCTGCTAAACCCAGAGTTGTAAGTTCAATCCTTGAGGAGACCACTTAAGGATCTGGGGAAAAATCAGTACTTGGTCCTGCTAGTGAAGGCAGGGGGCTGGACTTGATGTCCTTTCAGTTCTCTAAGATAGGTATATCTCCTAGCTCTAAGGAGTTTATAATGGGCTATTATCAGTAGCACTATGGCAGTGCCTAGAGGCTCCAGGCAAAACCAGGTCCCAACATGCTGGTTGCTGTAAGGCGTTTACAGTGTAAATAGACACAAAGGGAGGAAGGATTAAAATCAAACATAGAACTACGAAATGGGGAATAACTGGCTAGGCAGCAGGACTGCTGAAAAACATCGAGGGGTTCAAGTGGATCACACATTGAAGGAGTCGGCAGTGTGATGCTCTTGTGAAAAAGGCAAATGTCATTGTGGGATGTTGTCCCACGTTGCTGTATTCACCGCAGGTGGTGCCTCCTCCTGGCTGTTCGGGGGATTAGCTCTCTTCCAGGGCCAACCCCTCCCCTTGCCGTCTCTCCCCCGTTGTCTCTCTCTCACTCTGCAGCCTCATCTCTCGCTCCAAGAGCTGCAGCTTCCTCTCCGTGACTCAGCCTCCAGCCAGGTCACTAAATGGTTTCCCCTTCTGGGGTCCAGAGTCTCACTGGTCCCACTGTCCAGGCAATGCCGCTCCATCAGTGGCTGGTAGGGGAACTCGACCCCACCTACTGCTCCAGGGTCCAGCCCACGGACCCTACCACATGCAGGCAAGGTCTGCTCGCTCCCTGGGCCACTTCCTACTCACCTCCCATAGGCTTTCTTCTCCACCCTTCTCTCTTATAGGGGTCAGACTAATTCTAAGTACTCCCTTCCCCCAGGGCCCGGCTCCCAGCATGCTGTTCTCTCCCTGGGTTCCCTCTTTCCCTTTCCAATGCACAGAAGGTGGCTGCAGACTTTCTCACTGCAACCGATTTCTGTTGCCAGCTTCCTGGCTTTACACTAGCCCAGCCCCCACCTACTCAGCTGAGCTTCATCGTCCAATCAGAGGTTGCTTCTCTGGCCTAAACCGCTCATGTGCGGCCTGTCTCCCTAATCTCCTCTTTCTCAGCTTCCTTCACTCTTTTCGGGGGCTGATGTGGGCTGAACACCCCACCACAGATGTATTAACAGGAGTGTCATATGTAAGACACAGGAGGATGTTGTTCCACCCTTCTTCCACGGTGAGGCCTCAGCTGGAATCCTGTGTCTAGTTTCGGGCACCACACTTTAAGAAAGATGTGGAAAAATTGGAGAGAGTTCAGGGGGTCCGGGACTGCTAGAGCCGGAGGGAGCATGCTAGGGAGTGATGCAGCAGCCTGGGGGCTCACGGAAGAGGGGGCTCTGGGCTGGCAGGGGGGGGGCGCGGGTGGGCAGTGATGTGGGGCACGGCGGAGGGAGGCGGTGGGGCCCGCGGTTACAGAGGATGCCCGCAGAGGTAGATGCTAACGTGGCTGCGAGCGGCCCATCCCCGCGCCGGGAGCAATAGTGTAAAAAAAAATTAGGGGGCACCACTCTTTGGTGCCCCCAAATCTTGGCACCCTAGGTGGCTGCCTAGTTCGCCTAGTGGTTACACTGGTCCTGGGTGGGGGAGGGAAGCTGATCTGTGGGGCTGTTGGTGGGTACTGAGCCCTAGAGTACCCACCGAGTCGGTGACTCTGTATCACAGGTCCTTAAATTTCACCCAGTTATTCCTGTATTCAGCCCAATAACTTGTATTTGACTAAATCCTAACATGTGTTGACTAAAGAACCTTCCAGAAAGCCAGTCAGTCTTGATTTACCAACATCAACAGGTAGTAATGCTAGGGTTACCATTCATCTGGATTCCCCTGGACGTGTCCGGCTTTTTGAGCTAAAAATAGCATCCGCGGGGAATTTATAAATGTCCGGACATCCCCCACCCCCATGCAGAGCGCGCGCGGCTAACAGGGCAGCCGTATGGTGCCACTTACATGGGGCTCCGACAGCCAGAGAGAGCCCCTCCTCCTCTCCCCCTCCTCTCCCCTGCAGCTGAGATCCCTCCCGCCCCCCCTGCATTGGCAGAGCACCTCCGGCAGTCTGGAGCTCCTCCCCCGCTCCCCAGCGTGCCGGGACCAGCGTGCCGGGACGAGCGGCTCCAGCCGTTCCTGAGCACGTTCACAGAGACGTTAGGTGAAGGCAACAACAAGGGGGCCAAGGGGTCGGAGAAGGGGCAGGGAGGTTCTGGAGGGGGCAGTCAAGAGACGGGGGGGTCGGGAGTTCGGGGGGGCTTTCTGGGGGTGAGTGGATAAGGTTTTGGGCACTCAGGATACAGGTAGGGGGTAGGGTCCTGGAGGGCAGTTAGGAGCAGGGGTCCCAGGAGTGGGCAGTCAGGGGACAAGGAGCGGGGGGTGGGTGTTTGGGAGTTTTGGGGGGGCTGTCAGGGGGCAGGAGTGGGGAGAGGGATCGGAGCAGTCAGGGGACAGGGAGCAGAGGGGTTTAGATGGGTCGGGAGTTCTGGGGGGGTCTGTCGGGGCGGGGAGTGGTTGGATGGGACGTGGGAGTCCCAGGGGTCTGTCTGGGAGTGGGGGTGTGGATAAGGGTTGGGGAGTCAGGGTACAGGTAGGGGGTAGGGTCTCAGGAGGGGCCAGTTAGGATGGGGGGGAGGGTCTCAGGAGGGGGCAGTCAGGGGACAAGGAGCGGGGGGAGGATTGGGGATTCTGAGGGGGGCGGGGGGGAGAGGGGGTTAGGTTGGGCGGGAGTTCGGGGGGGGGCTGGCAGGGGGTGGGGAGTGGTTGGATGGGGCGTGGGAGTCCCAGGGGTCTGTCTGGGGGTGGGGGTGTGGATAAGGGTTGGGG